TTCGATTTCTCAATTTCTCGATTAATCGATTTAGTTTTCCGATTTTTCTTTTTCCCTGTTTAAGTTTTGGGATTTTTCAATTTTGGGATTTTCAACTTTTTTTTTGATTTTTTACTTACTGGATTTTCAAAATTTTACGAATGTCTAAATCTTACATTTTCCGATTTTTCAATTTTTTGATATTTCTATTTGTTAATGTTTTGATTGTTCGATTTTTGAAATTTTCAATTTTCCGCATGTTTGAGTTTTAGATTTTTCACTTTTTTGTTATTTCAATTTTTCGATTTTTGCCTTTTCGTTTTTAAATTTTTCCATTTTTCAATTATCCGAAATTATTTTTTTTTCAATTTTGGGTTTTTTTAATATGTATTTCGATTTTTAAATTTTTAGATTTTTCGACCTCCTGTTTTTCGATTATTCGTCTTTTCTATTTTTCGTCGTTTCAGTGTTGGGATGTATTTAAATTTTTCAATTTTTCAATGTCTGGCTTTTCTAAATTTTTGGATTTTTCGATTTCTCAATTTCTCGTTTAATCGATTTTTTAGTTTTCCAATTTTTCGATTTCTCTGTTTAAGTTTTGGGATTTTCCAAGATTTCGATTTTTTCATTTTTAAAATTTTCAACTTTGATTTTTGATTTTTTACTTACTTTCAAAATTTTGCGTGTTTTTAAATCTTACATTTTCCGTTTTTTCAGTTTTTTGATATTTCAATTTGTTGATGTTTGGTTGCTCGATTTTTCAAATTTTCAATTTTTGGAATTTTCAAGTTTTAGATCTTCTCGAAATTTAGTCGGATTCTCCCATATTCTCCCGCATTTTTTTCGTTTCCTTTCGGATAAATTATTATTAAAAAAAATTGGTGGATGGTTATTTCAACAGAACTTCCCTCGCTCCTAAAGTACAGTCCAACACGTACAACTTCGAAAAATTATCAAATTCAATTTTGTCAATTTTTTTTTTGATAATGACCTCTATGACGATTTATGTATTTAAATTTTTCGATTTTTCAATTTTTGGCGTTTCTAAATTTTTGGATTTTTCGATTTCTCAATTTCTCGATTAACGGATTTTTTAATTTTTCGATTTTTCGTCTTCCCGATTTCTTGATTTCTCAATTTTTCGTTTTCTTAAATTTTCAATGTGTAAGTGTTGGGATTTTTCAATTTTTGGATTTTCCAATATGTATTTCGATTTTTAAATTTTTAGATTTTCGACTTTCTATTTTTCTTTACTTACTCGATTTTTCAAAATTTTTGCGATATTGTAAATCATACATTTTTCGATTTTTCAATTTTTTAATTTTTCGTTTCGTTGATGTTTTGATTTCTCGTTTTGTAAATTTTCAATTTTTCGAATTCTTAAATTTTAGATTTTTCAGTTTTTTGTGTTAGTTTCTCAATATTTCGATTTTTCAATTTTTCGATTTCGATTTCTCGATTTCTCAATTTTTCGATTATTCGAGTTTCCAATTTTTCGATTTTTGAATTTCCGGCGTTTCTAAATTTTTGGATTTTTCGATTTCTCAATTTCTTGATTAATCAATTTTTTAGTTTTCCAATTTTTCGATTTTCCGTCTTCCTAATTTCTTTTGAAGATCGAAAAATTGAAAAACCGAAAAATCTAAAACTGAGAAGTCGAAAAATCGAAATATCGGGAAATCGAAACATGAAAAAACTGAAAAACCTAAAATTTAAAAATCGAAAAAGTAAAAGATCGAAAAATAGAAAAATTGAATAATCAAAAACTTAAAAAATCGCAAAAATTGAAGAATTGAAATACTGAAAAATTGAGAAAACGAAACATTTGAAAGTCGAGGAATTGAGAAATTGTAAAATGAAAAAATCGGAAAGTTGTAACGTCGAAAGTCCAAAAATTTAAAAATCGAAAAATTGAAAATTCGTTAAACTGAAACATCGGAAAACTAAGAACTCGGATATTGAAAAAATAGAAAATCTAAAATCTTTCGCTTTTTCAATTTTTCAATTTCCGGCGTTTCTAAATTTTTGGGTTTTTCGATTCGTCAATTTCTCGATTAATCGATTTTTTAGTTTTCCGATTTTTCTTTTTCGCTGTTTAAGTTTTGGGATTTTCCAAGATTTCGATTTTTGAATTTTTAGATTTTTCAACTTACTGTTTTTTTGGTTTTTTACTTACTCGATTTTTCAAAATTTTGCGAATTTTTAAATCTTAAATTTTGGGATTTTTCAGTTTTTTGATTATTCGATTTGTTGATGTTTTGATTGTCCGATTTTTTAAATTCTCAATTTTCGGAGTTTTTAAGTTGTAGATTTTTCACTTTTATGTTATTTCAATTTCTCAATTTCTCGATTTTTGGCTCCTCGTTTTTACATTTTTCCGTTTTTCAATTTTTTGGAATTGATTTTTCAGTTTTTTGATATTTCGATTTTTCAGTTTTCGTTTTAACGGTTTTCTTTCGATTTTTCGCCTTCTTATTTTCGGATTTTTCGGTTTTTCAATTTTTCGGAATTAATTTTTGTTTTTCGATGTTTTGATTTTTCGCTTCTTCGATTTCGATTTCTTGATTTCTCAGTTTTTGGATAAATCATCTTTTCGATTTTTCGATTTTCCAATTTTTCAGAGTTTCAGTTTTGGGATTTATGTATTTAAATTTTTCGATTTTTCAATTTTTAGCGTTTCCAAATTTTTCGATTTTTCGATTTTTCAATTTCTCGATTAATGGATTTTTTAATTTTTCGACTTTTCTATTTTTCGTCTTCTCGATTTCTCGATTCTCAAATTTTAGACTCTTCTCAATTTTTCAGTGTGTAAGTTTTGGGCTTTTTCAATATGTATTTCGATTTTTAAATTTTTAGATTTTTCGACTATCTAGATTTGTTTGATTTTTTACTTATTCGATTTTTCAAAATTTTGCGATTTTCTAAATCATACATTTTTTGATTTATCAATTTTTTGATTTTTCATTTCGTTCGTGTTTTGATTTTTCGATTTTATAACTTTTCGACCTTTCGAATTTTTAAGTTTTAGATTTTCACTTTTTTGTTGTTTCGATTTTTTGCCTCTCATTTTTCGATTTTTCAATTTTTCGGAATTAATTTTTCAGTTTTGCGATATTTCTATATTTCAATTTTCGATGTAACGGTTTGTTTTCCAATTTTCGCCTTCTCGTTTTCAGATTTTCCGGTTTTTCAATTTTTCGGAATTAATTTTTCGGTTTTTCAATGTTTCAATTTTTCACTTTTTAGGTTTCAGTTTTTTTAAGTTAAAATTTTTCTATTTTAAATTTTCCCATTTTTCGATTTTTTGCTACTTCCATTTCTCAGTTTTTCGATTTTTCAATTTTGAATTTTCCCATTTTTCGATCTTTAGCTATTTCGATATCCCAGTTTTTCGATTTTTCGGCTTCATTTTTTCAATTTTTCGATTTCGATTGCTCGATTTTTGTCTTTCAATTTTTTGCCTTCTCATTTTTAAATTTTTCGATTTTTCAAATTTTCGGAATTAATTTTTCAGTTTTTCGAAATTTCGATTTTTCAATTTTTCTTGTTTTTTAACTTTAAATTTTTCAATTTTGAATTTTCGTATTTTTCGATCTTTCACTAATTCGATATCTCAAATTTTCGATTTTTCGACTTTTCGCCTTCATTTTTTCAATTTTTCGGTTTCGGTTTCTCGATTTCTGAGTTTTTCGATTATTCGTCCTTTCAATTATTCGAGTTTCCAATTTTTTGACGTTTCAGTTTTGGGATTATGTATTTTTCAATTTTTCAATTTCTGGCGTTTCAAAATTTTTGGATTTTCTCGATTAATCGATTTTTCAATTTTTAGGTTTTTCGACCTTCTGTCTTACTTTTTATATTTTTCAACGTCTTCATCTATTCGATATTTTAATTTTTGAATTTTTGGATTTTTTGATGTTTAAAATTCTTGATTTTTCAATTTTTCGGTTTTGACAATATTTTAAGATTCTGTAAAATTCTTTCCAAATAACAAACTCCACGGATCCTGGAGATTTTTTAAAAGTATTTTAAAAACAAAACACAAAAGACCACGGAGATTTTTTTATACATATATTAAAAAAACACTAGGCACCTCTAAGACTTTCTCTTTTAAACCCAAAAAATTGGTCCAAAGTTATTTAGACAGATCTTCCCTCGGCTCTGAAGTAGAAATATATTATCAGTACATGCTTAACTTCAATTGTTTATATTTATACATGGAAAGAATGCGACAATCAAGCACGCAGCAAATCGTCTCTTCAAAACGGAGGAAACGATTAAAATTACTGATTAAACTACAATGCAACAAAAGCTGAGTGTTTAGGGAATTATGACAACCCGCAGAAAGAAGGCGGAATACGTGGAATATGATTCATTTTGATAATTTTTAATAAAAATTAATTGTTGTCCCACTTTTTCTCCTTGCTAATGCATTATTTATTTTGTAGGTTATCAAAAAAAGCAATAAAATTTGTCCTATCTATGACAGCAATTTCTAATAATTAGGATTAACCGTAACAATGCACATGTCAACTCTAAGTATCAGTATCACAGTTAGAATTATAAATTTTGTGGACTTCCTAGTGACGTCTATCTGTTAAACACGTTTCGTTTGTGTAGCTGCCTTCCTCAGTTCTTCTACAGTAGATTTTCTAATCTGTCAAAATAACTCTATTCTAGCACAAGACAACAAAATGTTACGACGTCTCTACGTAAGATATGGACTAAACCCAAATGTGTTTTTGTGCCGCTTACTTCGAAAATGAACCACACCACTTTAGTGCCGCTTTCACGAAACTGTCAATCCCGAACAACTCTTTAAAAGCTTAGTAAAATTTCAGTCCTCACCAATCCATCCGCACACCCACACTTTTGAATCACCGTTTCAATCCCGCGTTTCTATTCTGGTCAGGCTTGTTTATCCTGTCCAAAGAGCCCATCTGGTAGATTAAATTCGACAACTGCCGATCCCCGATTACATTTATTGCCAAGATTTAGATAGCATCAGTCGGCTTAATTACATTTTATATTACTGATTTTATTGTAGTAGCGAGGTGGCAAAGAATCCAACATGGTAAGTACTAACTTTTCAAAATAAAAATGTGTGTTAATTGCGTGGTTCAAGCACGAACAAGACTCTCTGGAGTACTTCAATTGTACCGGCTGCCTGGACGGAAACCGGTACTACAAAGGGTTTAGTTTGAACAGATGGACCAACCAGTTCACTTGCAAGTACCTGGAGAGTCTGTACTTGAAGTACTCTTACAGACAGAGACGAGCAGCTTTGATTGTTGTTATTCTAGCCGACGTGTTGTTTCGAGTACCTCTATTCTTTATTCCGGGTACCACAAAATATGAAGACGAAATACCCGAACTTGTCATATCTGTGTTGTGCGTTGTTATTAATTTAGTGTTAGTAGTACTGTGTTGTAGACGTTGGCGGTTGTTGAAAAGTGCGCACTTGAATAAAGCGGCTATTTGCTGCTGGTTGGTACTAATGACCCATAGCATCATAGACTCTGTAAGTTATCTAAAAAATGGGTTGTTGTGGTTTTCGGTTTGGTACGGCTTGACTACTATTTTCATACCATATACGATGTTTCCGTTATCGTTGTGTTGGTCAGTGGCAGCTGGGTACGTCTCGGTACTTACCCACCTCATCCTCGTAGCAATCAAGTTGTTCGCCGACGACTTCACCACATACGTAAGTCCCAACGACACTCTTTCCCCAAATACACTCCAATTGTAGTCCACCGAAGCCAACGCCTCCAAAACTTACCGATTTATCTCCACTTGCATTTTTTTCTTCACTATCAACTCCGCCGGGATCTACATCAAATTCCTGACAGACAAAAGCCAAAGACGCTCCTTCATTGAAACGCTCCACTTCCTGGAGAACCGCTGTCGCACCCAGGAGGAAAACAACCGCCAGGAGAGTCTCATCTACTCCATCCTCCCGGACTTCGTCGCCAAAGAAATGATCAAAGACATCGACTGCGAGGAGCGGCGAAACTCCTCGAACCCGCAGCAGTTCCACAAGATCTACGTCCACAAGTACAACAACGTCAGCATCTTGTTCGCTGACATCAAAGGCTTCACGGCTTTGGCTAGTAGATGCACGGCCCAGGAGCTAGTCAAGAACTTGAACGACTTGTTTGCGCGGTTCGACAAGTTCGCTTTGGTACGACCAAACGGAGTACTTTCTTTGTCATAGTTTGACTTTGTAGAGTAACCACTGCTTGAGGATCAAGCTTCTGGGGGATTGCTACTACTGCGTGTCAGGGTTGCCAACCCCGCGCACCGACCACGCCGACTGCGCCGTCGGAATGGGGTTAAAAATGATCGAAGCAATCAAAGACATGAAGACCAAGACAGGAGTAGACTTGAACATGCGAATCGGGATTCATTCAGGCTCGGTTTTGTGTGGAGTACTAGGGTTAAGAAAGTGGCAGTTTGACATTTGGTCACTTGATGTGAGGATTGCCAATCGAATCGAGGCGACGGGTACTGCCGGGTAAGTACTCTTTAGTCGTGGATGATTCCAGTACCGTGATTTTGTTAAAGTCGGGTTCATATCTCTGACGTCACGTACCGCTGCTTGACGAAGAAGTACTCCGTGGAACGTGGAAGCGCTAGTATTGATGACGCTCTACTCCGAAAGTACGACATTCACACCTACTTGATTAGAGAACAAGAGGAATTGTATGAAAACGTCCGGAGTCACGAAATAGTTGTGACCCCTCCACCCAAACGACAGTCGATTATTGTGGAATGGGTGCCCGAAATACCGTTCAAAGATGTAAGTACTACCACCGTACTACTCGTTTTTAGTAGTTAATCGTAGTTGCAAAACTGTGCCGCCGATGACGACAACACAGACAATTTCATCTGTTTGGCCAAAACCAGCGGAAAGTACGACGTCGCGAGGAAAGAATCGGCAATCGTGGTACCACCAGTCGTCGACAACATCACCTCAGAAATTGAAAACAATCTAATCCGACAAGGCTCTTTCCTCGATAAAGTTACGCTGAATTTCGTTGACCACGAAATGGAAGAACAGGTTGGTCCACAAACTTTAGCTTGTCGTTATTAACCTAATTTGTAGTACTCGCACCGCAAGAACGAAATGTTCAGATCAAACACGGTGTTGTTGTTCGTTATATGGCTACTGGCTATGATTATCCACCTTTTAAACCTGGAATAGTGAGTACTAGGGTCGTACAATCGTTTTGAGCCTATGGGCGGATCGTTTTTGCCTGCCCTCACCGAAGAAGGCGGTCCAGATCCTTCAAGGGCAGAATTTGTAGGTAGGCTCAAACTACAACGAAATTCACATTTTACCCTATAAAATTTTATTGACAAGAAATCAAGAATAGCAAAACTGAATACTTTGAAATATTGTAGATGTTTTGAAGTTTTTGTAAGCATGGTAACTTTTTCGAAAATTTGATTAACCAAATATGCGCAAAATCAAAAATCGGAAAAATTGAAATTCACTAATGTAAAAAACAGAAAATCGAAAAATACAAATCGTAAAAATCGAAAGTCTCAAAATAGCTAATCAAAAAATCGAAAATTCAATGAATCAAATACCTAGGTCGATCGAAAAGTGGAAATTCGCAAACCTCAAAAATCGAAAAATCGAAGGTTGGAAAACGGGAAAACCAAAAAATCGAAAAGTCAAAAATTTGTAATATTGAAAATTAAAAAAATCAAAAACAAAAATTAAAAAAATCGGAAATTAAAATAATCAAAATATATAAAGTAAAAAAATTGCAAAGCCTAAAAACTGAAACGAACAGAAAAATCGAAAAAGCAAAAAATTGGAAAAACAAAAATTCGAAAAATCTAAAATCGACAAAGTGGAAAATGGAAAATCTGAATAAAGAAACTTGAAAATTCTGAAAATTGGAAAATCGAAAACCAAAAAATCGGAAAGTAACAAAATTGAAGTCTAACAGTTGAGAATGGAAAAATTGAAAAACCGAAAATTCTAAAAATCGACAATGGACAAATTGAAAATCGCAAAATTTAAATTGAAAAATTGAACATAGAAAAATCGATGAATTGAAAAATCGAAAATTCGACTACTCAAATTTTCTAAAAATCGAAAAATCATAAAACTGAAAAATCCAAAATTCTAATCATCGAAAGTCTCAAAAATGAAAATCGAAAATTCTGAAAAGCGGAAAATAGAATATCGAAAAATTTAAAACAAAGTCTAAAAACCGAAGAATGGAAAAATTAAAAATCAAAAATTCGAAAAATCAAAACCGAAAAATTCAAAGATTTAAAAAGAAAATCGAAAAATCAAAAATCTGAAAATTGAAACTCGAAAATTTGGAAAATCGAAAAGTAAAAAAATTGAAGTCTAAAAGCTGAAAAATGGAAAACTGAACAATCGAAAATTCGAAAATCAAATATCGAAAAATCGAACAGCCGAAAAATCGAAAATTTGATAAATCAGATATGCGAAAAACAGAAAATCTGAAAATGCAAAACTGGAAAATCAAAAATCTAAAAATGGAAAAACCGAAAATCGAAAATTCAATGAATCTAATACGTAGGCCGATCGAAAAACTGGAAATTCACAAATCTGAAAAATCGAAAATTTGCAAGATTGAAGAACCGAGAATTGAAAAATCAAAAAACCGAAAAATGGAAAAATCAAAAATCGAAAAATAGGAAAACCGAAAATTCGAAAATTCATAATATTGAAAACTCTAAAAGTCGACAATTCAAAAATCAAAAAACTGGAAAGTAAAATAATCGAAAAATCGAAAAGTAAACAAATTGATAAGCCTAAAAACTGACGAACAGAAAAATCAAAAAATCCTAAAATCAAAAAGTGGAAAATCGAAAACTGGAAATTGAAAAATCGAAGATTGGAAAATCGAAAAATCGAAAATCGGAATATCGAGAATCGACAAATTAAAAAACCGAAAAATCGAAAAATTAAAAATCGGAAATCGAAAAATGAAAAAAAAAACGAAAATTCAAAAATCGAATAATCCGAAACTAAAATAATAGAAAAGTGCAAAAGTAAAAATTGCAAAGTCTCAAAACTGACGAACAGAACAATCGAAAAATAAAAAAAAATCGAAAAATATCTAAACATGGAAAATCGAAAATCGGAAACTCGAAAAATCGAAAAATCGAAAATTCGATGAAACAAATACTCGAAAAAGCGAAAAGTAAAAAAATTGCAAAGGCTAAAAATTGAAAAATCAAATAATCGAAAAAATGAAAATCGAAAAAACGACGATCGAAAAAAAATCAAAAAATCGAAAAGTGGAAAATCGGAAAGTAACAAAATTGAAATCTAAAAGCTGCAAATTGCATAACCATAAAAACTGAAACAAACAGAAAAATCGAAAAACCACAAACGCGGAAAAACGAAAATCGAAAAATCGCAAATCGAAAAATCGTAAAATCAGAAAATGAAAAAATTTTATGATTAATTGAAAATCGAAAAGTCGAGAATAGAAGAATTAAAAAACCGGAAAATTGAAAAATCGGAAATCGAGAATTAAAAACGTAAAATCGAGAATTCAAAAATCAAAAAAATCGGAAAGTTAAATATAATCGAAAAATGCAAAAAAATTGGAAAGTCTAAAAACTGACGAACAAAAAAATCAAAAAATCTAAAAATGGAAAGACGAAAAATCTAAAATTGAAAGAATGGCAAATTAAAAAATCGAAACATCGAAAAATCAAAAAAACGAAAAATTAAAAAATCGAAAAACGAAAAAACTGAACTCGAAAAATCAAAATACCCCAAATTTGAAAAATCAGTAAATTAGAAAGTAATAAAATCGAAAAGTTGATAGAAAAATCGAAACTGAAAAATATAATTCGATGAAACTGTTGGTCGAAAAAACAAAAAATTGCAAAGCCTAAAAACTGAAACGAACAGAAAAATCGAAAAAGCAAAAAATTGTAAAAACAAAAATTCGAAAAATCTAAAATCGACAAAGTGGAAAATGGAAAATCTGAATAAAGAAACTTGAAAATTCTGAAAATTGGAAAATCGAAAACCAAAAAATCGGAAAGTAACAAAATTGAAGTCTAACAGTTGAGAATGGAAAAATTGAAAAACCGAAAATTCTAAAAATCGACAATGGACAAATTGAAAATCGCAAAATTTAAATTGAAAAATTGAACATAGAAAAATCGATGAATTGAAAAATCGAAAATTCGACTACTCAAATTTTCTAAAAATCGAAAAATCATAAAACTGAAAAATCCAAAATTCTAATCATCGAAAGTCTCAAAAATGAAAATCGAAAATTCTGAAAAGCGGAAAATAGAATATCGAAAAATTTAAAACAAAGTCTAAAAACCGAAGAATGGAAAAATTAAAAATCAAAAATTCGAAAAATCAAAACCAAAAAATTCAAAGATTTAAAAAGAAAATCGAAAAATCAAAAATCTGAAAATTGAAACTCGAAAATTTGGAAAATCGAAAAGTAAAGAAATTGAAGTCTAAAAGCTGAAAAATGGAAAACTGAACAATCGAAAATACGAAAATCAAATATCGAAAAATCGAACAGCCGAAAAATCGAAAATTTGATAAATCAGATATGCGAAAAACAGAAAATCTGAAAATGCAAAAATGGAAAATCAAAAATCTAAAAATGGAAAAACCGAAAATCGAAAATTCAATGAATCTAATACGTAGGCCGATCGAAAAACTGGAAATTCACAAATCTGAGAAATCGAAAATTTGCAAGATTGAAAAACCGAGAATTGAAAAATCAAAAAACCGAAAAATGGAAAAATCAAAAATCGAAAACTAGGAAAACCGAAAATTCGAAAATTCATAATATTGAAAACTCTAATAAAAGTCGACAATTCAAAAATCAAAAAACTGGAAAGTAAAATAATTAAATAATCGAAAAATCGAAAAGTAAACAAATTGCAAAGCCTAAAAACTGACGAACAGAAAAATCGAAAAATCGTAAAATCAAAAAGTGGAAAATCGAAAACTGGAAATTGAAAAATCGAAGATTGGAAAATCGAAAAATCGAAAATCGGAATACCGAAAAATGAAAAAAAAAAAGAAAATTCAAAAATCGAATAATCCGAAACTAAAATAACAGAAAAGTGCAAAAGTAAAAATTGCAAAGTCTCAAAACTGACGAACAGAACAATCGAAAAATATCTAAACATGGAAAATCGAAAAATCGAAAATCAGAAACGCGAAAAATTGAAAATTCGATGAAACAAATACTCGAAAAAGCGAAAAGTGAAAAAATTGCAAAGGCTAAAAATTGAAAAATCAAATAATCGAAAAAATGAAAATCGAGAAAACGACGATCGAAAAAAAATCAAAAAATCGAAAAGTGGAAAATCGGAAAGTAACAAAATTGAAATCTAAAAGCTGCAAATTGCAGAACCATAAAAACTGAAACAAACAGAAAAATCGAAAAACCACAAAAGCGGAAAAACGAAAATCGAAAAATCGCAAATCGAAAAATCGTAAAATCAGAAAATGAAAAAATTTTATGATTGATGGAAAATCGAAAAATCGAGAATAAAAGAATTAAAAAACCGGAAAATTGAAAAATCGGAAATCGAAGAATTAAAAACGTAAAATCGAGAATTCAAAAATCAAAAAAATCGGAAAGTAAAATATAACCGAAAAATTGCAAAGCCTAAAAACTGACGAACAGAAAAATCGAAAAATCGTAACATCAAAAAGTGGAAAATCGAAAACTGGAAATTGAAAAATCGAAGATTGGAAAATCGAAAAATCGAAAATCGGAATATCGAGAATCGACAAATTAAAAAACCGAAAAATCGAAAAATTAAAAATCGGAAATCGAAAAATGAAAAAAAAAACGAAAATTCAAAAATCGAATAATCCGAAACTAAAATAATAGAAAAGTGCAAAAGTAAAAATTGCAAAGTCTCAAAACTGACGAACAGAACAATCGAAAAATAAAAAAAAATCGAAGAATATCTAAACATGGAAAATCGAAAAATCGAAAATCGGAAAATGGAAAAACCGAAAAATCGAAAATCGAAAACTCGAAAAATCGAAAATTCGATGAAACAAATACTCGAAAAACCGAAAAGTAAAAAAATTGCAAAGGCTAAAAATTGAAAAATCAAATAATCGAAAAAATGAAAATCGAAAAAACGACGATCGAAAAAAAATCAAAATATCGAAAAGTGGAAAATCGGAAAGTAACAAAATTGAAATCTAAAAGCTGCAAATTGCAGAACCATAAAAACTGAAACAAACAGAAAAATCGAAAAACCACAAAAGCGGAAAAACGAAAATCGAAAAATCGTAAAATCAGAAAATGAAAAAATTTTATGATTAATGGAAAATCGAAAAATCGAGAATAGAAGAATTAAAAAACCGGAAAATTGAAAAATCGGAAATCGAGAATTAAAAACGTAAAATCGAGAATTCAAAAATCAAAAAAATCGGAAAGTAAAATATAATCGAAAAATGCAAAAAAATTGCAAAGTCTAAAAACTGACGAACAAAAAAATCAAAAAATCTAAAAATGGAAAGACGAAAAATCGAAAATTGAAAGAATGGCAAATTAAAAAATCGAAACATCGAAAAATCAAAAAAACGAAAAATTAAAAAATCGAAAAACGAAAAAACTGAACTCGAAAAATCAAAATACCCCAAATTTGAAAAATCAGTAAATTAGAAAGTAATAAAATCGAAAAGTTGATAGAAAAATCGAAACTGAAAAATATAATTCGATGAAACTGTTGGTCGAAAAAACAAAAAATTGCAAAGCCTAAAAACTGAAACGAACAGAAAAATCGAAAAAGCAAAAAATTGTAAAAACAAAAATTCGAAAAATCTAAAATCGACAAAGTGGAAAATGGAAAATCTGAATAAAGAAACTTGAAAATTCTGAAAATTGGAAAATCGAAAACCAAAAAATCGGAAAGTAACAAAATTGAAGTCTAACAGTTGAGAATGGAAAAATTGAAAAACCGAAAATTCTAAAAATCGACAATGGACAAATTGAAAATCGCAAAATTTAAATTGAAAAATTGAACATAGAAAAATCGATGAATTGAAAAATCGAAAATTCGACTACTCAAATTTTCTAAAAATCGAAAAATCATAAAACTGAAAAATCCAAAATTCTAATCATCGAAAGTCTGAAAACTGAAAATCGAAAATTCTGAAAAGCGGAAAATAATAATAATAATAATAATAATATATTTATTTATCCAGCAGACTAATATATAGTCCATAGTGGATACAACCACAGGAACAATATTAAATTTACAATAAACACATAAACAATATTAAATTTACAATAAACACATAATGCTCACAACATTGGTACACTTACACATGATTCAATTCCAACAATTGTTTCCTTACATTAGCTTTACTAAAATTATGAAAAAATATATCTAGACGACCATCACAAACAGAATTATATAAGCGAAAAGCATATATCAATGGACAGTTATAATGATGAAAATAGAATATCGAAAAATTTAAAACAAAGAAAATTGAAGTCTAAAAACCGAAGAATGGAAAAATTAAAAATCAAAAATTCGAAAAATCAAAACCGAAAAATTCAAAGATTTAAAAATCGAAAATTTGATAAATCATAAATGCGAAAAACAGAAAATCTGAAAATGCAAAACTGGAAAATCAAAAATCTAAAAATGGAAAAACCGAAAATCGAAAATTCAATGAATCTAATACGTAGGCCGATCGAAAAACTGGAAATTCACAAATATGAAAAATCGAAAATTTGCAAGATTGAAAAATCAAAAAACCGAAAAATGGAAAAATCAAAAATCAAAAAATAGGAAAACCGAAAATTCGAAAATTCATAATATTGAAATCTCTAAAAGTCGACAATTCAAAAATCAAAAAACTAGAAAGTAAAATAATCGAAAAATCGAAAAGTAAACAAATTGCAAAGCCTAAAAACTGACGAACAGAAAAATCGAAAAATCGTAAAATCAAAAAGTGGAAAAACGAAAACTGGAAATTGAAAAATCGAAGATTGGAAAATCGAAAAATCGAAAATCGGAATATGGAGAATCGACAAATTAAAAAACCGAAAAATCGAAAAATTAAAAATCGGAAATCGAAAAATGAAAAAAAAAACGAAAATTCAAAAATCGAATAATCCGAAACTAAAATAATAGAAAAGTGCAAAAGTAAAAATTGCAGTCTCAAAACTGACGAACAGAACAATCGAAAAATAAAAAAAAAATCGAAAAATATCTAAACATGGAAAATCTAAAAATCGAAAATCGAAAACTCGAAAAATCGAAAATTCGATTAAACAAATACTCGAAAAAGCGAAAAGTAAAAAAATTGCAAAGGCTAAAAATTGAAAAATCAAATAATCGAAACAATGAAAATCGAAAAAACGACGATCGAAAAAAAATCAAAAAATCGAAAAATGGAAATTCGGAAAGTAACAAAATTGAAATCTAAAAGCTGCAAATTGCAGAACCATAAAAACTGAAACAAACAGAAAAATCGAAAAACCACAAACGCGGAAAAACGAAAATCGAAAAATCGCAAATCGAAAAATCGTAAAATCAGAAAATGAAAAAATTTTATGATTAATTGAAAATCGAAAAATCGAGAATAGAAGAATTAAAAAACCGGAAAATTGAAAAATCGGAAATCGAGAATTAAAAACGTAAAATCGAGAATTCAAAAATCAAAAAAATCGGAAAGTTAAATATAATCGAAAAATGCAAAAAAATTGGAGAGTCTAAAAACTGACGAACAAAAAAATCAAAAAATCTAAAAATGGAAAGACGAAAAATCGAAAATTGAAAGAATGGCAAATTAAAAAATCGAAACATCGAAAAATCAAAAAAACGAAAAATTAAAAAATCGAAAAACGAAAAAACTGAACTCGAAAAATCAAAATACCCCAAATTTGAAAAATCAGTAAATTAGAAAGTAATAAAATCGAAAAGTTGATAGAAAAATGGAAACTGAAAAATCTAATTCGATGAAACTGTTGGTCGAAAAAACGAAAAATCGAAAATCAAAGTGACCTTTTTTGAGACAGGCTGTATAAGTAAATCTAAAAAATATTACTGCAATGATAAATCACAGGTATAGACTCATCACATCAAATTTTACGATGACGTCATGCATTTTTTGGCGAAGATAAGCAAATACATTTTGATCGTGGCTTTGAAAGTATTCTTCGACTTTCGTTCCATTTCAAAATTTACTTTTTGTATATTTCAGTGGTCACAACGAGTTCACTAACTACGCTGAAGTATCCAAAGATTAAATTTGTCACCGAAAAGATGTCGGAAGTAATAAATTATCCTATCGGTCGAAGAACGTTCGGTCCGGTGTTACACCTCGACCCAAGAGAGACCGCAGTAAAGGATAACAAATGGAACAGATAAAATAAAGCGTCAAATATGATTGATAAACTTTAAACCAAAATTATGAAGTTTACAAACTGAACATTTTTTTTGCTTTTTGTTTTATAATTATGGTCGGCACAATTAGACCTAATATTAGTGTGATTTTGAGCATATTCTCGATGTTATTAGAGCAGGACAGGTTTTTTTTTCTAACTAATTGACAAGATTTCTATGTATTCAGTTTTGCAATTTTTGATTTCTTCAATAAAATAAATTGACTCAGTCATTATTTTTTTTTAGTCACCCTGTATGTATAAACAAATCCAAAAAATATTAATGGAATGGTAAATCACAAGTATAGACTCATCATATTCTGAACATTTTAGATAGGGTATTTATAAAATTAAAACTAATTCAGGGTAAGAATTTGGTCAACACGTAAATTTCGTTCGGTGACGACCGGCAAAAATGATCCGCCCATAGGCTCAAAACATTTGCGTGCGATTGTACCAATATCTTCTAATATGTCTTTTTTAGCAACGCAGTACTTGTTGGTATTCTCAGTAGTGCGACTTTAATTTTGGCCATAGTCACGTTTCTCGTGGTTGCCGGAAAGTTCCAGGTGTTTCCAAGTTGGATTCAAAAATGTTCGCAAGCCCTTAGTTACGGGAAAAGCCGAAGGACTTTTGTGGTCGCTAGTGTGGTCTTCGTCATGGCTGCAACTAGCGTCGGGGCGCTGCTAACCCAAACTTGTATAACCCAAAATGACGGAAAGGGTACTTCTAGTAGTACTACTAAGAGCTTTGTAGCTCAATTTTTCGAGCACTTTGTTGTTGTTGTAGAAACCAGTGACCAGTGTCAATCGTACCTGGAAAATAACCGTCCCCACTATGTCTTTTTTCCATGGATGCTTTGTATTATAGCCACCGCTACCGCTCTACGAGTCAACTACTTGATCAAGTTTTACTTGACTTTTATGATGTTGGGGGTATTCGTAACACTGATCAACGTACCACAGTACGACAACGTTTTTTTTTGTTGTCGGAACAAGTAAACCACACTAATATAGTACTTCGTTGTTTAAGTCGTTTTTTCTAGTACTTCTGGTACTTCCGACTGCGATTTAGCCAATAGTGACTTAACCAGGATTCAACTGGTGGCACTTCTGGTTAGTTTCCTCTTCGTCATTGTTTACCACGCCCGCTTGGTCGAAGTGACCACCCGTCTCTACTTCTTGTGGAAACAAAAGGCTGAACAAGAACTCAATAGCATTAACGCTACTAGACAAACCAACATGCAACTTTTGTCCAACGTACTACCCGATCATGTCGCCTTACATTTTCTCAGTAGAGACTACAGCAACGAAGTAGGTACCACTCGGGTTTGACCTCACCCACGACTTTCCGTTTTCAGGAACTCTACTCCCAGTTTCGTCAAAGCATCGGGGTACTTTTTGCCAGCATCCCCAACTTCACCAAGTTCTATGCGGAAGACAAAGGTCTCGAGTGTATTCGTCTGCTCAACGAAATTATCGGTACTTCAGTTACTTTCGTCTCGTCGTACTTCTAGTACTCACATCTTGTTTCAGCCGACTTTGACGAAATTCTAGACGATGAGCGCTTCGTCGGCGTTGAAAAAATCAAAACTGTGAGTGCCACCGCCACGTACATGGCGGTATCAGGGCTCAACCCCACCACCAACAAAGACCCTTTGTTGCTGCACACCCCCCAGCACCTAGGGGCTTTGATTGACTTCGCCATGACCATGAAGCAACGTCTGGAGGACATCAACAAAGACTCGTTTAACACTTTCAGTCTGCGTGTGGGGGTGTCCTTCGGGAATTTGGTCTGCGGGGTCATTGGTGCCAAGAAACCCATTTTTGACGTGTGGGGGGACACGGTGAACGAAGCGTCGAGGATGGACTCCACGGGGATCGCCGGGGAAATCCAAGTACCCAGACACACGGCTCTGGTAAGACCACAGTTGGACTAACTTTCTTAATTTAGTAGTAGCTTCTAGAACAACAAGGGTACCACGTTAGAAATAGGGGGTTGGTGAGGGTGAAAGGAAAGGGGTTAATGGAGACGTGCTTCGTGGTGGGGAAGAAACTAAAGAAGGTGAGAAGTTGTCAGAGGAATTTCAGCCACACGAGCAGCTTAGGGGCCATGGTTTACGCGATTGCCCAAAATAGGAAAAAGTTTATCAGTCAGAGTTATAGGTCCTAATAAATCTTGTTATTAAGTTGTGTTTTTTGGTCACGCATGACGCGAATAACGTTTCCGTGGACGCGCATTTTAACAATAAAATTATATCTGGATAATCAATTTATAGCTTTGGTTAATTTTGGTGTTTATCGTCAACCAGAAGCTTTTTTTATCTAGAGTGATTAGTGCAACCATATGTCGACAAACTGACTAATATTTCTAGATTTCTTGTAAAAATACAGTTTTGGTTTGATAATCAAACAAATCGGTCATGGTAAGTACAAACTCGGGCAATTTTGACTACAACCACGAATAGTTTTTCACTGATAAAGTTTTCACTGTAACTAGTTTCAAGAAGAGGACTCTTTGGAGTTCTTTGACTGCAGCAGCTGCATGAACCGTCGTCGGTACTACAAAGGTATTCGCTTGAACCGATGGACCAACAGATTTTCCTCCAACTTTCTAGAGTCGGTGTACTTGAACCACTACCACCAAAGACGACGATCGCCTTTGATTTTCATGATCTTGATCGACATAGTGATCGAGGTAGTACCCACAACGTGCAAACCCATCTACATTTCTGCTTACAGCTACCCAACCTCTACTTCTGGTGTACCGACAATCTCGTCCGAGACACTAACGTCCAGGTACAACTCGGTCTTTCTATATCTTGCCTTGTGGTCAAAATCGTCCTCGTGATTCTGTCGTACTTCTTCAAAAGCAACCAGCTGAATTTGTGCACTGTGTGCTTATGGTGGGTACTGATAGCAGAAAGAATCAACGGTACTCTCTTTCTGTGGAAACGAAAGTTGCTGTGGAGCTCCCTGCGCTACAGTCTCACTTCCATCTTCGTACCCTATACCATGCTCCCCATTTCCTTGTGTTGTTCCCTGGCTCTTGGTCACGCCTCTGTCATTCTCCATTGTCTTCACGTGTCTCTCGAACTCCTGGTTCTGGACGATACTCCCTACACCCCCTTCAAACTCCACAAGCTCGCCACCGAAACCCTCTTCTACTTCACGGTTCACTTCGCCGGCATCTACATCAAGTTTTTGACGGACAAAAGCCAGAGGAAGTCCTTCGTGGAAACCCTGTACTTCTTGGAAAACCGCTGTCGTACCCAAAACGAAAACAACAGACAAGAGCGTCTGATTTTCTCAATCCTACCCGACTTCGTCGCTAGAGAAATGGTCCGCGATATTGACAGCGAAGAGCGACGAAGCTCAACAAACCTTCCACAGTTCCACAAGATCTACGTCCACAAGTACAACAACGTGAGCATTTTGTTCGCAGACATCAAAGGCTTCACGGCTTTGGCCAGCAAGTGCACTGCACCAGAACTGGTTAAGAACTTGCACGACTTGTTTGCGCGGTTCGACAAGTTGGCTTTGGTACCACTAGAGTTAGAAGGTACTTTCTTATTTATGACTTAAGTTTGTAGAAAAACTACTGCTTGAGGATCAAGCTTCTAGGGGATTGTTATTATTGCGTGGCGGGATTGCCCGACCCTCGGGGGGACCACGCGGACTGTGCAGTCGAAATGGGGCTACAAATGCTTGACGCTATCAAAGAAGCCAAAATAAAGACTAGAGTTGACTTGAATATGCGAATCGGGATTCATTCAGGGTCCGTGTTGTGTGGGGTTCTAGGATTGAGGAAATGGCAGTTTGACATTTGGTCACACGATGTGTCAATTGCGAATCGCATGGAAGCGACTGGAGTACCAGGGTGAGTACTATTTTTGTGAGAACAATAATCGTGAGTGTGAGTAGGAGAGTTCATATAACTGACGTGACGTACCGCCACCTCACCAAGAACTACATCGCTGAACAAAGAAACGATCTTAAAAGAGACACATTGCTACGCAAATACAACATCCAAACTTACTTGTTGAAGGAAGATGAAAATAAACCAGTCGAAGACGTGACCACACCCACTCCCAAGCGACAATCGATTACAGTGGAATGGATCCCCGAAATACCATTCAGAGACGTAGGTACCACAATCGTACCCCTGTTTCTACAGTCTTGTTATTCTAGCTACAAAACTCTCTTCATTGTATGGACACCAGCGACGGCTTGATTTGTCTATCGCGCCGTAAAGGCGAGTACCACGTTTCCAAAACCACGTCTGCGATAATGTCGTCCCCGAGTCTGGAAAGCAGTACCACCGAAATTGAAATGAATTTGCGAAGACAGGGGTCCTTTCTCAATAAACTGACTCTGAATTTCCTCGACACTGACATGGAGGCTCAGTACGCCCGACTTAAAGACGAAATGTTCAAGTCGAATATCATTTGTTGTTTGATTTTGTGGGTGCTGGCTCTTGGTACACAACTACTAGTGCTGCAACTGTAAGTGTTATTTTTTACTTTGCGAGCGTAAGCTAATTTCTACGTGACATTCTTTCGATGTATAAACATAAATAAACACTTAAGCTTCAGATTGCTATTACGTAGTGCTGAAGGATAAAGGGTGTTATTTATGCCTCTGGTTTTTGCTTTATGCAAACGAAAATCGTAAAATCAAATTTTAAACATGTTTTAAGTTTCATGTTGTGAAAATAAGTCTACGCATATTGAAACAAAAAGGCAAAATGTAAGCCCGCCCACCCGCCCTATCTCAACTGTGATGATTTTTTTTCTTCACCGTGAACCAAGAGGGCGAAGCTTAACTGTAAAATACTTATTTCTTTACAGGAAATTAAAAACATGTTTTTGAGTATCGTGTTGTTCAAAGAATACTAAGTACATTAAGAAAAAAAGGCATAATGTGAGATCTTGCAATTAAGCTCCGCCCCTCGAACTGACAACGAATAAAAAAATCATCACAAGTTAGAATAATCTTTGGCTTTATTTTTTTCTTAATGTACAATCACACGCAAATGTTTTGAGCCTATGGGCGGATCGTTTTTGCCTGCCCTCACCGAAGAAGGCGGTCCAAATCCTTCAAGGGCAGAATTTGTAGGTAGTCTCAAACTACAACGAAATTCACATTTTACCCTATAAAATTTTATTGACAATAACGGGACGGACAGTAGTTATTGTTACATTTGGTAAGAAATATTTATGGCTCACACCAGTTCTCTCGAATTTGTCGGAGAAGATTTAGCAGGTAGTTGTAACCCATAAAATAATGGTCACTTTCGTTCGTGAGTAAGGATGGTCCAGACATGAATTATTTTGCTTTCTAACATCTTTCGACCAATTGTTCCGTACAAAAAATTTCATCACTTTTTCAAATAAAATACTCTTAAAAAAAAAAACGATATTGTCGTTGAGTGACATGTAACTGGCATAATAATAAAAACGTGCCATTTTTGTTAACTGATATTTTTTTCATAAATGTCGCAAAATTATTAAATTTGTCTAATCATCCCCACCAATAATGTGATGACGTCACTTCAAATTTATGCATAGTAAATGGGTTTTAAATTGTATACAGTAACATAGTCCTACACATGGAGTTTATGACTCCGTGTTGAGTTTTTATCCGAAACGTCCAGATTTTTGGAAAAAAAAATCAAAATTATAAAACAATATTTTGCAATTTAATTTTGAATTTGCAAAATCGAATACTTTGAAATCTTGCAGATGTTTTAAAATCATGATAAACATGATACATTTTTAATTAAAATATATTTGCTTATCCCCTCTAAAAAATTTATGACGTCACCTCAAAATTTTGCAGAATAAATCCTATCTTAAATGTATAAAATATGATGAGTTTTATAGTTGTGATTTATCACTGCATTAATATTTTTTAGATTTGGTTATACAGGGTGTCTCAAAAAAGTTAATGACTGATTCAATTTATTTTATTGAAGAAATCAAGAATAGCAAAACTGAATACTTTGAAATATTGTAGATGTTTTGAAGTTTTTGTAAGCATGGTAACTTTATCGAAAATTTGATTAATCAAATATGCGCAAAATCAAAAATCGGAAAAACTGAAATTCACTAATGCAAAAAACAGAAAATCGAAAAATACAAATCGTAAAATTCGAAAATCTAAAAATGGCTAATCAAAAAATCGAAAATTCAATGAATTAAATACCTAGGTCGATCGAAAAGTGGAAATTCACAAACCTCAAAAATCGAAAATTGAAAAACGGGAAAACCAAAAAATCGAAAAGTCAAAAATTTGTAATATTGAAAATTAAAAAAATCAAAAACAAAAATTTAAAAAATCGGAAATTAAAATAATCAAAATATATAAAGTAAAAAAAATTGCAAAGCCTAAAAACTGAAACGAACAGAAAAATCGAAAAAGCAAAAAATTGGAAAAACAAAAATTCGAAAAATCTAAAATCTAAAAAGTGGAAAATCGAAAATCTGAATAAAGAAACTTGGAAATTCTGAAAATTGGAAAATCGAAAACCAAAAAATCGGAAAGCAACAAAATTGAAGTCTAACAGTTGAGAATGAAAAAATTGAAAAACCGAAAATTCTAAAAATTGACAATGGACAAATTGAAAATCGCAAAATTTAAATTGAAAAATTGAACATTGAAAAATCGATGAATTGAAAAATCGAAAATTCGACTACTCAAATTTTCTAAAAATCGAAAAATCATAAAACTGAAAAATCCAAAATTCTAATCATCGAAAGTCTGAAAACTGAAAATCGAAAATTCTGAAAAGCGGAAAATAGAATATCGAAAAATTTAAAAGAAAGAAAATTGAAGTCTAAAAACCGAAGAATGGAAAAATTAAAAATCAAAAATTCGAAAAACCAAAACCGAAAAATTCAAAAATTTAAAAAGAAAATCGAAAAATCAAAAATCTGAAAATTGAAACTCGAAAATTTGGAAAATAGAAAAGTAAAAAAATTGAAGTCTAAAAGCTGAAAAATCGAAAACTGAACAATCGAAAATTCGAAAATCAAATATCGAAAAATCGAAAAGCCGAAAAATCGAAAATTTGATAAATCAGATATGCGAAAAACAGAAAATCTGAAAATACAAAACTGGAAAATCAAAAATCTAAAAATGGAAAAACCGAAAATCGAAAATTCATAATATTGAAAACTCTAAAAGTCGACAATTCAAAAATCAAAAAACTTAAAAAAAATAATCGAAAATCGAAAAGTAAACAGATTGGAAAGCCTAAAAACTGACGAACAGAAAAATCGAAAAATTAAAAAATCGGAAATCGAAAAATTAAAAAAAAAACGAAAATTCAAAAATTGAATAATCCGAAACTAAAATAATAGAAAAGTGGAAAAGTAAAAATTGCAAAGTCTCAAAACTGACGAACAGAACAATCGAAAAATAAAAAAAAATCGAAAAATATCTAAACATGGAAAATCGAAAAATCGAAAACCGAAAAATCGAAAACTCGAAAATTCGATGAAACAAATACTCGAAAAAACGAAAAGTAAAAAAATTGCAAGGCCTAAAAATTGAAGAATCAAAAAATCGAAAAAATGAAAATCGAAAAAACGACGATCGAAAAAAAATCAAAACATCGAAAAGTGGAAAATCGGAAAGTAACAAAATTGAAATCTAAAAGCTGCAAATTGCAGAACCATAAAAACTGAAACAAACAGAAAAATCGAAAAACCACAAAAGCGGAAAAACGAAAATCGAAAAATCGCAAATCGAAAAATCGTAAAATCAGGAAATGGAAAATCGAATAATCGAAAGTTGAAAAATTGAAGGTCGAAAAATAAAACAACCGAAAAATTTTATGATTAATGGAAAATCGAAAAATCGGAAATCAAAGAATTAAAAACGTAAAATCGAGAATTCAAAAATCAAAAAAATCGGAAAGTAAAATATAATCGAAAAATGCAAAAAAATTGCAAAGTCTAAAAACTGACGAACAGAAAAATCAAAAAATCTAAAAATGGAAAGACGAAAAATCGAAAATTGAAAGAACGGCAAATTAAAAAATCAAAACATCGAAAAATCAAAAAAACGAAAAATTAAAAAATCGAAAAACGAAAAAACTGAAAACTCGAAAAATCAAAATACCGCAAATTTGAAAAATCAGAAAATTAGAAAGTAATAAAATCGAAAAGTTGATAGATAAATGGAAACTGAAAAATCTAATTCGATGAAACTGTTGGTCGAAAAAACGAAAAATCGAAAATCGAAGTGACCTTTTTTTGAGACAGGCTGTATAAGTAAATCTAAAAAATATTACTGCAATGATAAATCACAGGTATAGAAATGTAGTACACTTCAAAAAATGTCCGTGACTTACTTTAAGGTGAATTTTATAACTATGGTCGGCAAAGTTAGACCTAATATTAGTGTGATTTTGAGCATATTCTCGATGTTATTAGAGCAGGACAGGTTTTTTTTTTCTAACTAATTGACAAGATTTCAAAGTATTCAGTTTTGCAATTCTTGATTTCTTCAATAAAATAAATTGACTCAGTCATTTTTTTTTGAGTCACCCTGTATGTATAAACAAATCCAAAAAATATTAATGGAATGGTAAATCACAAGTATAGACTCATCATATTCTGAACATTTTAGATAGGGTATTTATAAAATTAAAACTAATTCAGAGTATTTATAAAATTAAAACTAATTCAGGGTAAGAATTTGGTCAACACGTAAATTTCGTTATAGTTTGAGCCTACCTACAAATTCTGCCCTTGGACGATTTGGACCGCCTCCTTCGGTGACGACCGGCAAAAATGATCCGCCCATAGGCTCAAAACATTTGCGTGCGATTGTACGCAGTATTCTTTGAACAATACGATACTCAAAAACATGTTTTAATTTCTCGTAGAGACATAAGGATTTTGCAGTTAAGCTCCGCCTTCTTGATTCATGACGAATAAAAAAAAATCATCACAATTGCGATAGGGCGGGTGGGCGGGGCTACATTTTGTCTTTTTTTTACTTAATATGTGTAGACTTATTTCGGCAACAATAAAAAAATAATCCTTCACTTTTTTTCTACAACCCCTTGAAATACGGTAAAAGTTGAACACCAAAGTTACTATCAACGGCAACTTGGCAACGGTTCTACGAGATATTTCAAATAATTTTCAGGAAAATACAAATGTATAATGTGATAACAGACACCGTTTTCTGTTATTAAGAGACATTTTTGTAGCAAAAAACGTTAATTCGATGGAATTCATTTTCGTGTCGCAAAGTTATGGCTCCTAAACGCAACTCACTACAAAAATTCTCGAATAGCGTAAAACTGATTTTTTTCACTAGTAGCCATGAAGCATGCAATTGTCGACTTGTTTAGAGGTAGTAAAGTTCGACTTTTGCGACCAAGGTTCAAAAAGAAGATTGAGGTTATGTATGAAATACTTGATGTGATTATTTCTTAAAAAATGAATAAATGTATGTTGCTAACATTACTTAAGTATACGCGTGGCAG